GAAGGAAGGAAGGAAGGAAGGAAGGAAGGAAGGAAGGAAGGAAGGAAAATCTAGAGAGATGGTTCAGCAGTTAAGAGCACTGGTTGCTCTTCCAGAGGTCCTGAGTTCAATTCCCAGCAACCACATGGTGGCTCACAACCATCTGTAATGGGATCTGATGCCCTCTTCTGGTATGTCTGAAGATAGCTGCAGTGTACTCATATATGTAAAATAAATAAATCTAAAAAATAGAAAAGGAAGGATGTTTCTTCTTCTAAGTATGGTGAAGGAGGTTTATTGTAGATAAAAGGAAGAGCATAGCGAGATGCTAGTCTGCATATTTTATCACATGTAAATGTTTGATCCTCTGAAGTTTATTCTTGTATATGTTATTAATATTCCAACCATCTTCTGTGTTCTTCCAAATCATTGGCTGGTGTCCAATATTTGATATAAGAAACTTTTACTAAGTCAGATGAGGTGGGAGGTGCTTTTAATCAGATGTATTCAGATGGCAGAGGCAGGCAGATCTGTGAGTTCCAGGCCAGCCAAGGTTACAGAGACCCTGTCTCAAAAAGTAAAACATGCTTCCTTGTGGTTTGTATTTCTGTGTGCTCAATTGCCGTCAGTGGTTCCCTAGGAGCTGGAGTTATAAGTGATTGAGAGTCAACCAAAGAGGCTGCTGGGAAATGGGTCCTTTGCCAAACCAGCAAACACTGCTCACCACAGAACCAGCTCTCCAGCCCCTAGTTAATGTTTTGTTTTTTTTAAAAAAAAAACTTTTCCTCCTAATAGACTTTTACTCCTGATAGACTTCCATTTTTGTTTTTTGTTTTGTTTGTTTTTTGTTTGCCTTCTACAGAATGGGCTTTAACCTTCAGTCCACCTCAAGATCCCAAGAGCTGGATACACTGGCATATGCAATGCCCAGCTAAACTCTCCATTTTTATCTGGCAAAGGGTAGTCATTTCATTTCCTATCCAGCTGTGAGTCTAGCCTTCAGCACCTGTAAAACCTAAATTGTTCTTGACTTTATTGTTATAGAGTGTATCTGCATGCACGCACATGCATGATGGTAGAGGAGCTGTGTGTCACAGCGTGTACAGGGAACTCAGAGGATAACTAGCCACAACTAGAGTTATTATGTACTACACAGTAAATAGGACATCCTGAGCTCCAGTCTTCCCTATCTAAAAAAAGAAAAGAAAAAAAAAAACCGAAAAAACAAAGGATTAGTCAGGTGGACCCATACTAATTGGCCCCCACCTTTCCCTCTGTAGGTAACACTTCCCCAGATCAAAAGGAGCCAACACCCTTTATCATTGAGTGGATCCCAGATATCCTCCCGCAGTCCAAGATTGGTGAGCTTCGAATCAAGTTTGAGTATGGTCATCATCGGAATGGACATGTGGCTGACTACCAGGACCCAAGGCCATCCATGGACCAACCTTTGGAGCTGGCCCCTCTGACTACTATCACTTTTCCTTGAGGCAAATCAAGAGTATTTTGCAATGTTTGCACATCCCAACCCCGAGGACTGTAAATTCTAGTAGCACTTATTTGATCCCTGCTAACTAACGAACGGCACTTGGCTAAGATGCAGTTACTCAGCCCATCCATGGTGTTCTGTAGAAGAAACTCTTGTAAATAGCCTTGTGTGTACAGTGTTCATTACAGATTGGACACTTATTTCTGACCAGAGTTTTAGAACAAGAAGAAACAACAAAAGTCCAGCTCATTGGCTTTTCGTGGATTCACCTGCAGCTTGGTTTTCTGTAATTCTCTAAAAGTCGCAGCACTGGATCTTAGCCAACAGTGTTGGACAGCTAATGATGCCCTGGGTGGAGCAGAATCCTCTCTCTCTACCTGAGAGCTCAAATCATACTCTTTATCCTGATAACAAATAAAGTACAGTGTCACTAGTTTTTCCAAATGGTGCCATCGATGTCATGATTTTAGAGTTCGAACCTTTGGGAGAATTCATTTTGTAGTCATCGGGAAAAGTGGGCAGCACCAGGGGATCAGCAACACTTCTCCCCACCCCACCCCACACAACACTGGTCCTCTGTTACCCTTGGCTGTCATGGAACTCAGAGATTGACCTGCCTCTGCCTTCCAAGTTCCAGGATTACAGGCATTATTATTATCATTATTATTATTATTGTTATTATTATTATTATTATTCAAAATTGAGAGCAATAGAGGTAGCCAGTCTCTGTCAGTTTGAGGCCAGCCTGGTCTACAGAGTGAGTTCCAGAACAGCAAGAACTACAAAGTGAGAACCTTTTTTTTTTTTTTAGACAAGTATAGCCCTGGCTGTTCTGGAACTCACTCTGTAGACCAGGCTGGCCTCAAACTCAGAAATCCACCTGCCTCTGCCTCCCAAGTGTTGGGATTAAAGGCCTTCACTACCACTGCCCAGCGAGAACCTGTTTTGTTTTGTTTAAAAAAAACATCTGGCTGGGCGGTGGTGGCGCACACCTTTAATCCCAGCACTTGGGAGGCAGAGGCAGGCGGATTTCTGAGTTCAAGAGTTCGAGGCTAGCCTGGTCTACAGAGTGACTTCCAGGACAGCCAGGGCTACACAGAGAAACCCTGTCTCGAAAAAAAAAAAAAAATCTGGTAAAATTCAAAACCTACTTCTGAGTTCACTCATCACAGAACAGATGGAGGAAGTAAAGATTTGCCTTCTAGGAGAGGGAGAAACATTTTCTACACACCCGCCCTGACTTCTGTTTACACTTAACTCCAGTCAGGTTTCTCATTTAGTCTTCATTTTCCCCCTGGGTTATACACATTACACTTCCTGCCGATTTACTGGGGCTACAGATTGGTTTCTACACAGTAATAAAACTGTTTAGTTTACTTCTATGTATATATATTCTTTCAACTTGAAATATCATATTGGGGCTGGAGACGTGACTCAGCAGTTAGCACTAACAAAGGTCCTGAGTTCAATTCCCAGCAACCACATGGTGGCTCACAACCATCTGTAATGGGATCTGATGCCTCCTTCTGGTGTGTCTGAAGACAGCAATAGTATACTCATATACATATGATAAATATTTTTTTAAAAAGAAATATATTGGTTTGATATGTAGGGGTTTTTTTCTCTCATGCTTTACCTACATGTATGTATGAACACATGGGTGTCTGGTGCCCTGGGAAATCAGAAAAGGTTGTTAGAGTACCTGCAACTGGAGTTAGGGATGATTGTGAGCCATCATGTAGGTGTTGGCAACCCAGGTCCTCTGGAAGAGCAGCCAGTACTCCTAACTGCTAAATCATCTCTCTCTCTCTCCAGCCCCTTGATAGGAATGTCTTATAACTGATAAATTGCAAATGACAGAAACACCCAGTTCCAACCTTTCTTGCTTGAGCAAGAAAAAAAAATGCCTTGTGTTTACAGAGAAGGCTGGACAAGCACCTTGTGGAAGTGGGGTGTGCCCAGACTATACAAGCTCTGGGACCAGGTCTGTCCAACTGTCCATTCAGGGTGCATGACCCCCTTTCCTGCCTTCCCCTCTACGACTTGGTCCAGCACCTATGGCTGCGGCCTGGACTGCGCTCCTGAACTCGGGATACTCTACAAATGGATTAGTTCGTGAATTCCTCTTCTACATAAAGATACAGAGCATCACATGCGATCTGCTCGTGTTGCTGGGAATGGTGCTTTCAGTCCTGTCCTGAAACATGATTTCGGTTGATGACAAAGGCAGAGAATGAGTACGCAGTCTGTCTTTATGTTTCCTGGTTCTCAAACTTCCCATGACCCGCAGCGCAACGTTGCCAAACTGTTTCAAGAGACCAAGGAAAGCAAGGGTTGAAGCCACGTTTCCGCCCACACTGGCAGAGGGGAGGCCGAAATAGCACGCGGTCACGTGGCCCGCGAGATGCCGTCACCACGCTGCCGCCGCACGTCGCTTCCAGCCACACCGCCGCCGTTCTTCCACCAGGCGGCGCCGCAGGTTGGTCACGCGCCTTGTGCGCAGCCGCGCTGGCGCTCCGGACACGTCACCACCTTCGCGTCCTTTCTGGAGAGCGCGGGAAGGAGGGCGCTGCGGGTGGTGACGTCACCGGGGTTCCCCGCGAAGCTCGCGTGGGCGGAGCTGGAGACGTGGCGTACGCGGAGTGTGGAGCTGGAGGGGAGGAGACAAGGGAGAGGAGGGGATGGGGAGGGGACATGGGCTGCAGGGAGTGGGAAGGTGTGGAAGGTGTAAACCAGGAGGGGGGAAAAGGGGTGAGGAAAGTGGCTGGAGACGGGAA